CAACACTTGTACTTGTTGCTTCAACAAATGCCACTCAACCTGGACCTCGAGGATCTCAAATTCAACACCATACCTGTGACGCTGGTCTGGATCAGTAAAATCAATACCAAGAATATAGCTCCGTTGGTTTTTTGATTGGACCCAAGAACCTCGAACATTATCATGGTCAGAGACAAATTTCCTGTAAAAATGGAATGAGTATTTGCTGGGGAATTTGGAGAAAAGGACTTTCTTTTTCAGTTCATCATATGTCATGGAGCGCATAACATTAATAAGAAACCGTCCTTTCTGCCACTGGTGACCATTGTTGGGAGCTGGTCTTTCAAGCAAAGTGGAATAGCTAGGCTTTGAAACTGATTCCATATAAGCAGATTCAAAAAGTGACACCTCAAGGCGGAGAGTGGTACGGAACAGGCGTTTAGCCTTGTCTCTTGAGAGTTCAGATGTCATGATTGCAGCATTTTGATCAAGAAATTCTGTAAAGCATGAGATATTGAGACAAACCATGACATCGGGCATACCAGGTACATAAACTCACTGGACAGCACTTTGGCAGACTTGGTAAAATCTGGTCTATTAGGGTCAGTGGTATCCACATTTGGCAAGATCCAAGTTTTATAAAAGGCTGTGTCTTTTTTGGTTGTGGGTTGTTGGTAAAGGTCCAATGCAAGCTTGCACCATCCCTGTCCAGCAATCCATCAGTAAGAATTTGATTGTTGGGAATGATTTCTTGAGTATTACTCACCCAGTAACAGCCAATTAGAACAACATGGAGATTATACCAATCATCACCTTGGGCATTATTCTGAAGGTATTGTGAATATGCGAGCTCTGCAATAGACCTCTCAACCATGAAGTCCTCCTCAGAGATCCCAAGTTGCTTCACACAAGTGATGAACCAATCCCTGGCATAGCCAGTAGAATTTGTGACTGATTTGATTTCTTGATCTAGTTTATCAAGGTCGAAATCATCATAAGGCAGAGTGGCAAAGCGAAGTGCTTTGAATCTGACTGAGTCCAGGAGATAGAAGTAGTCTTGCTAGAAATGGAGCGCACATGATTGAGGCAAAGCAGTTGTTAGTTATTTTGTCACTCACCACAGCATACCTCTTATAAGCAGCACGGGCATTCTCTTTATCTTGGGCTGCCTCAACACAGAGTTTGTTTTTCATAAAAGCAGTGACCACATCCTGATTATCAATGTCATTCCACAGCTTATCAATTTCTTTGCTGCCAAGGTGAGACATTGAGCAGTTATGATAAAAGGAGGGCAAATGAGACACCTTACTTTTCTGGTTGAGCTTCATCCTCAAGTTTCTCCAAGAATTCTTCACAACTTTTTTTGTCTTTTGCGATCAAGTTGACTACTGTATGAATGATAGTGGATATCACAAACTCAGCATGTGGATCCTCAGCATATTCAAACAGAGTATTGATGAGGGTGTCCATAATAAGTGATGAGAAGAGGTAGTGAGGGGATCCTAGGACAAGGAGGTAGTTGTCCCTGCAATGGATGATTCTGCTATATATGAAGAGTTCTGAATTGAAATAGGTTTGATCCACAAGTGAATGGGCTCCAAATCGATGAGATACAATTCACATCTCACATCTGAGGGCCCCATATCAAATCCTTGAATGCCTCTGTAATCATAGATGTCCCAGGGATTTAAAGCTAAATGGCTGGTTCATTGACTCTGTCACGAACTATCTATTTTTCCATTGCTTCACGTACTCACCTATATCACCTTGCCTTCTACATACCGATCATTCGTTTCTTTACCTTACCATAATCTTTCCCCAGCCTCATGTCCACTTTATCTTCACTAATCACCTTGTGTCCTAGTAACATATCCCATTCACCTCGCTATATTGTCATTTGCGCAGCAGTAACCTATCATCATCATTGTGCTAGGTAGTAGACCTTGTAGTATTTAAAGACCCCCTTGTAACCCCTAGTCCTTAGCTTGATCTCTTGTCAACTTCGGACTAGGCGGGTAGTAGTAGCAGCTTCTCCCGGATTAATCTGATCTTGTCAACTTCGGACTAGACCTCTGTATCTTCTATTCTACGACAATTCAATAGTGTCGTCTCTTTGTGACAGACTCCACTTTCTGCATTCATGACGCATGTCACATTTCCACAATCCTTCTACTTCTTGTTCTGATGGTGAATAGATAACAAGTGAACTGGCTCAAATTAAGGAAATGAAAACCTCGTGTCGGGGTCCTGCATCAGTGTGGTACTGATAGAGCAGAAAGTCGCATTAAGTACATGTAGTCACGATTAACTTCTTTGGTCAAGGAGCTCTAGAAAATAGTTACATGACATGCCATTTGCCAATAACAGCAGCAATGGCCTGCATTTTTATAATATAATTAATGAGATTTTGTTACATGAGAGTTCAAGTATATATCATCAATCTTACTGCACTCTTCATTATTATGGGAGGCCACAGCCACAGCCTCTAAATCAGGCTGTGTCAATGTACTTATCTCAGATTTCTGGCAAATAACCAATAGAAAGACAAGGAGTGGATATATAGCCTATGAAAAGTACAAGTATGGATTTAGAATGTTAAGTGACATATGATTGTCAATGAACTCACAGCAAGATGAGGTAGGATTATGTCCATAAATGCAGCTGCTGCGCCTCCGCCGTTCCCTGGGCTAAATACCCCTTTATATATCATCACTGTAAACATCTATGAACCAATTTTGTTTAGCCAATGGGATCAGATAGAAAGAAAACTGACCCACCCATGTAATAAGATATAGCAATCCAGACTCAATGAACAACAGCAGTATTTTCTCTGCTTGAGTTATAGACTTTACATCTAGTTCTGATTTAGGAATTTGATTCCCAATGTAAAGCCTGATATACTTGCGATGGTGCCTAAAACAAATGAATAGGTTGAATATAATTTCATACAAAGCATGCTATAACTTCTTACCAAAGTTTACATCCAATCATCAATGTAGCAGTGATGTTTGATAAGAGGAAGGGCAGATAAACAGTACAAGAATAAATGATTGGGTTTTTAAACTCTTCCGGTGCAAGTCTTGGATGTTTATAATCATAAGAATCACAGCACCTGATAGATATAATTCAATATTTGTGTAGATGTTTGGATTTCACTTACCTATTAATCCAAGAGCTAGAACACCCAGTAGTATGCGAGATTTTTTATCTACAAGTACCCATGCTCTCCAAATAACCACTAGATCGCTGAAAAGAAACTTTACAGTAGGGGCTATATGCGTGAGAATATTGGAAATTCTGCTCACTTACATTCAAGGGATGAACAATACTTATGGCTGTATAGAGGCACTTAAATTTATAGAATTTCAACAAATCATCTATACTGTAGTTTCCTTCTGTAGTTGACCGAGTTGAAAGCAATTGGACAATAGTCATGTTTAGAGACAGATTCAGGGCAAAGAAAATCGAAGATAACATGAACATCATTAAGGATACAGCAACCAGTATCAATCGTGATTGGGATGGTTTATTGCCTCTACATTTTTTTTTTGTTAAACATTGTAGACCAATTTTAATCAACCTGAATGCAGCAACTCACTTGAAAAAAGTAATGTACATGAACACTACTTCCAGTATCATGAGGCAGCCTGTTGTCCGAGATTATGATTAGAACCTTATTTGTTTTGTGTATAATAAAAGCATATAACATACCATAAAACAGCCCCCCAAATGCATTAGCTTCAATGAAATACACATAGTTATCCAGTTCTTGATCAGGTAGTCCAATAGCCATATTTTAGGTAGTGATTCTTATCAAGAGAGGGAAATGGCTGAGGGCTAAGGCTCACGAAGTGATTCAGTGGCAGATATATGTAATTTTCTGATTATTCTCAGGCTGTAAAAATGCAGGAATAGTTTTTTATACCTGTTGCGCTGTACAGCATGTAGATGTCCAGAATCAAAGTTTCCATGGAAATTCAATAGGGTGGGTCACTTGCAGTTGTTTCACCTGCTGCATCAAGTTATTTTTTGATGAAAGTGCCTTGTCATTAGATGGCCAGTAGCGTGGTCGCAATGGCAATACAATACTGTATTATTTAACTGTTCAGTGACGGCCGCAAGTCTGGTCTAAGCCATTCAGAATTTGATAGATAATCCATCGCTTTGCGATGAGGCAACAGTAAAGCCATCATGCCACATTGATACCAAGAGCCGGTACAGAAAATGGTTGTGCACTCCATCAGATAAAATGGTGGTATACTTAATGGAGACAAGACTTGCCTGTTGCTGTCGCTCCGGGACACCTAATGAAGGACAAACATCTGTTGCCATGCGGAAGGATGTCAATTTCATCTCTCATTCAGAGTGCCAACAATTTTGAAGATGAACAAAACAATAATTTTTACTTAGGCCAAACATGGCACCACAAAGGGAAGCCATAATTTTAAAGATATGAGGTATCGGGCCAGGCATGCCAAGCGATGGAGGTAAGTAAAGACGTCCTCATAAATCCCCCACACATTGAATCCAAGTAAATTTATTATTTAGGGTAAATTCCAAAAGTCTGTTGGTGGCTCTAGACTATTATGTTCTAATCTACTTCCCACTCTTTTGAATAGGCCAAGAATCTCAGCTTTCTTCCTGATATTAGTTAAAAAAGAATTTGTACATATCACTCTGTGAGTCAGCGAACAGTTGAATGAAACAATATGGTGACTTGGGTTTGAATATTGTCATTCTCAGCAGTATACCTGGAGTAATGTCAAAGCTTGTGGAATATAAGATACAGTGTGTAAGTGTGATCCTTTTTGCCTGCTATAAAATTTAGTATTGGCTTTCTCACAATCAATCTTGGAATAGTGGAAAAGTATATCAACTTTCGCATGCATCATTTGGTACAGAATAAGTGGTACTTTGATACTGTTGCCCCAGGAGAACAATACTATTGTAACCTTTTCAAAGACCAGTTTGTTTTCAGATCACAGCAAAATATAACCTGTTCAAAAGTCAATACTTGCAGCTCCCTGGTAGTATATCGGTTAGTACACGCGCCTGTCATACGAGCGAGAAACTCCATCCACGCGAAAGCTGGGTTCGACTCCCAGCCAGGGAGGTGACATAAAGGAAGCCGGTTGTTTTTTTAAATTAAATTTATGTCTTTTGTTTGCATAACATAGTAGCGAGATTGTGGAGCAGGGTAAAGGACCTGGTTTTCTATATATGTATATCCAAACAAACAGCATGGTACAGCATCACCTCAACATCACAACATCAGATGACATCAGACATGCCAAGTACCCCGGATATAGCAATATCGTATCAATCAAATTAGTTATTCTCCAGACACTGCCAGATAATGTGTGAATATCGTCACACCAGCTACTTGTAAGGAAGGTAGACTTGTTCCCTCATCTGGTAAGGTCCAGACCTTCATATCCGTAGACACAGGTGAAGTAAGTTTACTTCCGTCCCGTCCCATCCTGTCCATCCCGATTATCCCATCATCATTCTGTCATCAGTGTTGCTTGTCCTCCTCTCCCATCAGCATCTCAGACGATGGTCGGGCATCACTCTCCCGCCAGCTCCCGCCTCACTTACAAGTCAAAAATGACACATGCTCATGTGCATGTTTGCAAGATATCAACAAAGTCTGCTCCATGCTCCCCGACATGAACGCAAGTTATCAACAAAGTCCCGTTCTGCATTCCCTGACGCACTCAAGCAGTTAATCACCTGGTAAGTGAACATCCTTCTCTTACGTGACGCTGCTCAACATTGTCACCGGTGCTTTACCTGGCAGTCACAATGCAGTAATCTTCAACATTTAACATGAAGGTACAAGGTGTTTCCAAGGCTGTTAAATTTGGGTCTGGAGGTGGTCGTGATGAATTGTACAGGTATGGAAAGGCCTGTGTAGGCAGCGAGGCAGTGGCCTCCTTGAACCTACCTGGGGATTGAAAGTAAGAGTTGAGGCAAATAGATGATAGAAGTTCTCTGTTAAGAGTGCTAGAGTTACAGGATAACTACTGGGGTATTTATACTAAGTAACTACAATAAGTATCATATGATTATCAGCATAAGGCTGTCCGTATCAATATGTACTGGGTGTATGTGGCTATTCCACATACTACGACTGTTCTATCAGAATGATCTGATAGAAGATGTGTTGCCACATAAATGTGGCAATGTGTTGATGGCATCTATAGAAGCGCCAATTCAACACTCCCCCTTGCTAAGCACCACGGTAGTGTGTGCAAGCATAGGTTGGTGCTAAAAGCAGCCAGGATTAGTCTGAGTAAATTTCAAGGCCAAGTTGCGCTCTAAAGCGCTCAAACTTCAGTCTGCCTAGATTCTTCATGAATAAGTCTGCGGGATTTTTGTCACCATCAACAAAGTAAATTTTGACAAATCCTTCAGTAACAGGATTTGAGGTGATGAAAATTGAGCCTTGGTTATCACTGTAGAGTGGAGTGGCATTTAGGTTGAAACCTAATTCACTCATAAGAGTCTGGATCCAAACAACTTGGCGACTACAGTCACTGAGTGCCATGTATTCGGCTTCTGTTGAAGATAGGGCAATAGTAGTTTGAGCCCTTGATTGCCAACGTTTCAGGAAAAATCCAGTTTGTGATCGACGAGTAGTTGGGTCAGAAGCCCAATCAGAGTCTGTGCAGGCTGTTAAGCCTATACCTTTTGTTCCATCATATACAAGAGAATAATTTCTTGTTCCTATAAGATAGTGGCAAATGTACAGCGCTTTATCTAGGTGCTCTTGAGATGGGTTAGCAGCGAATTGCGCTAACTTGGTAACAGCAAAGGCTATGTCAGGATGTGTGCCCAACATTATGTAGACTAGAGATCCAATAATGATTTGGAATCTCTGGCAAAGTTCTGGGTTAACATCCAAAGGGTTTGGAATTGGATAGAAACCTGCAGGTAGTGGTGTCGGAGCAGATCTAGCATTTTTCATGCCACAGCGTTCAAGAACTTTCATAAGGTATTGACGTTGATCTAAATAGATCTTGCCGTTTTTCCTTTTAATGTTCATGCGCAAGAATTCCTTGACATCACCAAGATCTCTGCATTCCCATTTCTTCATAAACTTAGCCTTTAGCTCGTTTACAAGACTCTTGTCTGATCCACAGAACAGAGTATCATCTACATATACCACGGCGAAAACTTTCGAGCCATTTGGTGCAGTGTAGACAAATATTCCAGCATTGGAACTGATTCGTTTGAAGCCAAGGTCGCTCATGGACTTATCTAAAGTTCGCCACCATGATAGGCCAGCTTGCTTTAGTCCATAAAGAGCTTTTCGTAAACGAAGTACTTTATGCTCTTGACCTTGAGCCTTGAAGCCCTCAGGCTGCTCCATGTATATTTCCTCTTCGAGATCACCATATAAATAGGCGTTGCGTACATCAACAGCAGAGATGTGCCATTTGAGTAATGCAGCTAGTGCAAGCATTAAGCGCACAGTTTCGAAACAGACAACAGGGGAAAATATTTGGTCGAAGTCTAAACCTTCAACCTGTGAAAAGCCTTTACCAACGAGTCTGGCCTTTTTATGGCCATCTGATTTTTCATCAAAGACCCATCGATTTTTAATGACTTTCCTATCTTTAGGTTGGTCAGTGAGGTCATACACCTTGCGCTTGCAAAGTGCCTCAAGTTCTTCGTGGCAAGCGTTTTTCCATTCCTTTTGCTCAGCTTTGGGTAAGCTTGCAATATCTTGGAAAGTCCATTCGCGAATGTTATGGACTGGATTACAATTTTCGACAGGGACTGCATGCGAAAGCAAGAAGTTGATTAATTCTACTCCCCCTTCCCGGCATAGTTCTGCCATGTGTTCTTCAGGGTCTGATACGGGATTCTCAGTATTGTTGATACGCTGTCAAAAATCGCATTTTAGATACTATTTTTGGACGAATAAAGCACATTATCTCGTGTAAAATGGGTAATAAAGGACTAGAGTGAGCCCGAACTGCTAGTTAAAGTATTAAGTATTGCAGACCATTCGGTAGTAATAATGTTAAGTATGAACGGATAGAGATCTAGCTTATCCTGAATACTATGACAGATGTACTACCGAATGAAGCAGTTTATAGTAGCAGATCCACCCTATCAAAGTTACTAAGTTAACTTCAAATTCCTACTTAAACTAGTTGTGTACTTGTATGACTCAAGGGATTTACCGACTTGGTAATTGAAGACTAAAGACCGGTAGTAGAAGTCTTGTGATAAATGCATCAGGAGGGTAAAGATCGAAATGGAATAGATCTACCGAAACAGTGATCAGACAAAGTGTTCTAAGATCAGTACGATCGTCAAGTATACTAGGAAAATGGATAGACTACTATCTAAAGTACTGTTCGGTAGTCCACCGAATACTACTAAAAAGAAAGAGAGTATAATAAATCAGAGTACCGAGGACAATACCTTGAACCAATGCTAAAGAGCGAACTCTACCGAGACCGGTAAGAATGGCATTCGGAAGAACGGGATACAATCGGTTTTAGGAGTGAAACTATAGATCGAATGCTATTGATCTACAAAGTATCATCGGGTATACTAATCCGTTGATTAGAACTGCACTACCGAAGAGAGAATACGATCAAAGGAATAGTTAACCAAGGACTTTCGGTAGCACCACAATAATAAAAGAGAAAGTAAAAGTATTATAGTCCGGGAGTACCGAACGTAGCTGGATAATGGGAATCCGACCAATCGCTCTACCGAGACTATCAGGAGTGACAACCGCAGTGTAGTGGAGCATTACAATCGCCCGCTACCGAGTTGAAAATGTTGAAACCAGGGGAAGTAAAAAAAGCTGTAGGGATCTACATTTTCCTACAAAATCTATATGGTAAAATGAGCAAGAAAGGAGAAAATATACTTATAAGGAATGATTGGACTCGATACACCTACCGAACGATAATTTTGTATTATTATAATAGTATTTTAGCGGACATTCAAATATATTCTAGAATAGGTATAAAAGTAGGTAGGTTGTACAGTAGAAAAGTAGTGACGCATTGTACGGTACACTAGCGAGCGTCTGGAGCTTATAGCTTTAGGCCATCGTGAATATAACCTACTAGTGTAAGCTCTAAACCTATAAATAAGTGAACCAAAGGTTGATCACCTCTAAAGTCAAAATATACTGTGAATCTATACTGTTGTTACTGTTGAATCTGAACTGTCTGTCTGTCTGAATACTGGACTACTGCTGAAATCTGATCTGACTGAACATCTGCATTGAATCTGAAGTACTGTTTTGATAGAAAGTGATTGAACTTGATTTGTTTACTGTGTCTGTGAATATACCTTCTGTTATAAAACCCAAAAAGTCTTACAAAGTGTGTTAAACCAAAAGTGTACTTTTTCCTAAGAACATTGTATCTGTTCATGAGCACCTCAAACAATTAAGAGTGTTTTGTTTGTTTTGGTGGGGTTCATTCCACTAAAATAACGACTCATCATCGTCTTGGCATGGAGGTGCAGAACTAGGTCCGGGAACCTGTTCTGGCTGAGCAGGTGGTGCTGGGTTTGTCGACTTATCCCAGGGTTCATTATCACCTACAATCTCTTGCCACTGAGATGGGTCATCCATTTCCCGTTCAACATCTAGAGGGTTCCAATTATCACCATAGACATTATCAGGCCGTTGAGAAGATGGGTTCCTAATATGCAATGATCGCCTTGGTGGACCTGAAGGTTGTTCCTTCGGCTTACCTCTACCTTTTGGCCTTCCTTTTCTAGGTGTCAGAGGTGGAGAAAGAGGTCTCGGCGCTGCTGGTGGTGTTTTAGGCAGACTCTGTTCCCTAGCATCCTCACACGGATGGTCAGGTCTCCTTGGAGAAGGGTTATTGTGTCGTTGAGTAGATGGTATAAAATCATCATCACTGTCATCGAGCATTGTAGGAGGAATGTCGTCCTTGTGATCTTCCTGATCATTTGGGGGTGAGATAGGAAGTCTCTTTGAACCACGTTTCTCATTTTTGCATCTTGGGAGTAGAGACTCCTCAAAGATAGCATGAGATGAAGTGAACACAACATTGTTTGGACTCTGCATGAACCTGTTTCTGTGCACCAGAGGCAAGAGTACTTTTT